GACTTAAGATTGAATAATGCATCGCAATATAACGAATCTCTCACCTGTTAATTATCATTCTCGCCTTTTTCATATCTCCCAAACGATGCCGAATGTTCGAAACAACGGAATTGAGATGTGCACTCGTCACCTTCTCAGGATTTCGCCAAGCTTTTTTTTCGACTCAAAATGATGGTTGAAAGCTGAGAATGAGTGGTTGACTTGAATCGTGACTCATGTGTTGAGAAGAAGAAGAATTTACCATGGGAATTAAGCGAATAAAAAGCAATAAGTCGGCTCTAATTCATAATGAAATTGAAAATAAAATAACGAATAAGTTCGTATGTCATGTTTATACTCTATGACAATCATACCAACGTAAATATAATCAATAAATAAGTCTAGAAAAAATCATTTCAATGTTTTCAAGTTAGCCGAGATAACGATTATTAGGTTAACATGTTAAACCTACGATTAGTTTTATTGGAAATTCTTTATTAACGAATCTACTTATTTCAACTTAACTGTTTGACAAATCTTCATTGTTTATCATTATTAGAACAGTAAAATGCATCATCTTCAAAGTTATTAACTATCAATTAAACAATTGTTAATCGATTATTTTAATATTAAAATCCGTTTAAATAAACGAACTGATCAATTATTTTATTTAAAATGTCAACAAGAACAACAATCATCGATTAGTTTTGTCAATCTGATACTATTTATTAGGTGATTATCATATTGCACAGTCTAGATTGAACAGTTTCGTCAAACTGAACAATAACGTCTACCATCATCATCAGACAAGACTATCTAACGATAAATATTGACTATTTTTATTCTATAAATATATTATTTAACGTCAATGTCAACAAAATGAATATAATTTATCTCATATAGATATATGAGATAATAATATTAGTATTATCACAAATAAAATATTTATTTATCTATGCGACTGACTTCAATTCATCGAGATGAAACAATTTAACAAGATTTAATCGAACGTTAATCTTGAAAATAAAAACTCGAATTATATCTTAGAACGTATATTTAAGTCTAATCTATATTCAGATGATTAAATAAAACTATATTCTATAATCAAATATTAATATAGATTTTTTTTTTTTTTTTGGATATTTTAATTCATGTTCCCTAGCTAAATATTTGCTTAAAAAAAGTTGATTGTCTTATAGACTCTATAATACATGATAATTGATCTAATCAATTATAATATTAAACATTTTATTTAATAATTATTTATAATAATTACATTCGAATTGACACGAATGAAACCTATGCTTTTACAAATAAATAATATTCGATGTATTTGTTTCCAATGTCTCATAGAAGATTCAAAACATATTTATATATGATTCGATCGTTTATGTTAAATCATTGATGTCAAATCGACTTTATTTCAATTAAGAAACTATACGAAATAATGTTCGATTGATCAATATGTCAACACCAAAAATAGTTTCCACAATTCCATCATTATGTCTAGTTCAATATTTCGAGTCTTATTCATAAACAACAGATTAGACTATGTTTACATTCGACACTATATTAGTCTTCTTCTTTTTAGTTTTAAATCTATCGTTAGAGTCCTATCAATACGACATTTAACAGTTTATATTATATTAAATAACGAGAGTCTTAGTAGCATAGCGTTGAGTGTACCAGTTGCCACAAGGAGTCAAATATTTGTTAGGAGAATTTTCTAGATTTATTAATAATCAGTCTTAGTTTTTTGAAAACCTATATACGAAACTTTAACGTTGTGTTAGATGATCGATTTCCGAAAGGTATTGGATAATATTTATAGAGAGGAGTTGAAAAAGGTCGAACATAACTCTTTCAATCTCTTTACTTTTTATATTGAATATGAGAAAAAGTCTTTTCTATTTTAATTAGAATTTCTTTTCTTTTTCTTTTAGAGGACAAAATAATTTACAGACTTCTACGTACGTTATTTAAATAAACTAATTAAATATAGAAGATTTGAGAGTTGATCAGCTATGATTTAATCTAGTTGTTGAATATATTTTCTATAAAACCTAACTAAATAAATATTCTTGAACATTGATATAACGGATTCATAAAGAAAAATAAATGCGGAAACATCAGATTTAAATCCGAGAGTTGTGTGTACTGAAGAAAAGTGAATGAAACAAATCAGTTATCCGATCAATCTATGGACATCAAAATTCTTTTGGCAAACCTTTCCTATAAAAACACTTCATTTCTATTGGCTACTGCTCAACTAATAGGATTTGGAGGCAGATACACCTCAGATTTCAACTCTTCACCTTGATTTAACCTAAGAAAATCGTTTTTCCTACAACTTGAGAGTTCTCCATCCCAGAAACCGTCGAACTATCATCTCTGTTATCGGAAGATAGACCTCGATTTATCGATCAATTAAAGCATGGACAACAAGAGAACCGAATTCCGTTTAATTATCTTTGGAATAGGTGAGTTAACTTTCTTGTTTCCTTATGTTTTATATCCGATTTTGTAGTTCGTGAAATTCTCTATCGAATGGTTTCGAATAGTTGGACTTTTATTTGACTATTCAAGGAAAAATTTTTTGTGAAAAGTGAGAAGGGTCGATCGTTCTCATAGGGAAGCCATAGGAAAAAATGACTATTTTTGTAATAACTCTCGAATGACTCGGCCAATCCTTCTCATCTTCTTCTCTCGACCGAGACATTGTTAAGACTAAACTATGTAGAAAATATCATCGTAATCGTATGAGTCTTTGAAGAGTTCTCGTGTAAACGGCCAGCCGGACACCCAGACCGATTCTAGAGTCTATGAACTTTTTGAGTACACAAAAAGAACTCCATCAACAATAAAAATTTTTCTTTTTGAAAAAAAAAACTTTCAATTAATTTGATGAAAAACAAAAAAACAAAACAAAGAATAACAAATTTGATTTTTTTGTTCTTATAAATGTTGTTCAGAAACAATTGAGATTGTTGACAAATTCTCATTTTGTTTATCATCATTTGAATCATTTTCTCTAAAGAAATTTTTTGTTTTAAAAAATTTATTTCATTTAAATATAAATAAATAAGTAAATAACTTATTATAATGATTATCAATTGATGGAAAAAGATAATCTGGTGTTGTTAATAACTATATTTATAATAGAAATATATAAGATATTAACTATAGATAGAAATAAAAACAAACGTTGTTCATTAACGATAATTTATTCTTTTATTTTATTTTGTTAAATTATCAAAAGATTTTTGTTTATTGACGAAATATTTCTGATTATCATATTGAGATTGACCAATTATATTTGGTAAAATAGTTCTTTCGTTCATTTGATACTTCTAATTTTCCATTTATTCGAATTAAATATTTATCATCATGATCATCATCAACAAATGTTTTTAAACCCTAAAAAAAACAAAATATTTTTTTTTTCATTTTTTTTTCATTAAATTTAATCGAAAGTGTGAAAACTAATTTTGATATAAGTTAAAATGTTGTTAATAGAAAAGATAATATTATTTGAAAATTAATTCTGAGTAAATCTAAAAAATTCTTAAATAGATTTTTTTTCATAAATCGATTTGACAAATAATTCTCTTTTATTTTTCGTTTTTATTCGTTATCCTTAATATAAAACATAATATTATTTTTTTAAATCTTTATCTATTTAACTCTCAATTTGGTTTCTGTGATGTTAACCGAAACTAAAATTGATGTCAAATATATTCTTTCTAAACTATGTTTAACGTTAATTTCGGAATGTCTAGATTGACTTAACTAGAGTTAGTCAACTATTGTCGATATATGATTATAAACGGATGAAATCCATTCTATTAACAAGATTAGTTTTCAAATTTATCAACGTTCGTTCGAACAGATTTTTTCAATGTTTTTTAATTGTGACATTTTATTATATTTGTCAATATAATTATTAGATTTAATATTCGAATAATGATCGTCATCATTATTAATGACAAATCTATTTTTCATTATCTTCATATAATAAAATAGTTAACTAATCAAATAATTGTTTGAATTATTTCTAATAAAATATATCGTTATTCGAGTCTATTAAAATAGATTTATCATTGATTGAAACATTTATTTTGCATTGATTTAGCGAGTGGTCAGTATGTGAAGGATTGTTTTCTATGAAAATGATAATCATCTATAATGATACTATTCATTTTAAGTTAAGGATGTCTTAAACGAATACCCATTTATTTCTATATAATAACACTGAGATTTATTAGTTAAATAATCGTTTGAATAAGAATTATAATTCTATAATAACGAAAAATCTTATATTTAAATAGATAAATAATAATCGTACTCTATTATATAATAAATGATGATTCGAATATAAAAATTTCTCTTAGAATATAATTTGATAATAAATATTTAAATATAAAAATAGGAAATAAAAAGATGAGATGATGAGATTGAAAAAACGTTGATTTGATAAGATGATTCAATCTATGATTATATTATACAATGATAAAATCTATCAAAACGATGACGCTATAGAAATCAATTTAATTTTATAAGATTGCATCAATGATTTTATTTGAATAAATAATAATCTATCGTTATTCTATATATTTAATAATAAAATAAAAATAAATTTCGTTAAATAACCTCTTGTGGAATATAACAAAATCAATTGAGAATGTTGAAAAGGAATAAATGAAGATGATTTTATATTTTAAATATATCTACCTCCTCTCACATCTCAAAATAATGAACTTTTACGTCAATGACATTTTACATCAGAAAATCAATACAAATCAACTAAATATTTTTTTAATTAAAAAACCAAAAATTGATTTTAAAATAAAACTTAGGAAAACTTTTATTAAATAAAGCAAGAAAAGATGATCTTGGATGTTGAGCTAGAGCATGAACATGAACATGGAAATGATTTAATAAATTGTCGATTTAAACAATTCGATAAATAAACTAATGTTTTATGACAAACAAGAATTTGATCGCAATTAAATAAAATATATTCAACGTTTATTATTTCGATCAAAATGAGCAAAACAACGTGAATATTCATAATGAGATTCTTCATTTAAATCATTTGTTTTATCAATCCAATTACTAACTAAATGTTCAAATGAACAACATTTATTTATTTGATTTGATTCAGATAATTTATAATAAGATAATGCTGAACTTGAATATGAACGATTTGTATAATCAGATAAACAACGCCAATGAGATACACCTTCGACACATAACAATATTTTATTCATTATACGATTTGATTTTATATATATTTACATTTATTTATAGATCTTACCCGTTTTTTCTTCTTCTTTTATTTAACATTTATTCTCAATTAGTTGTTAACAATTATTTATAGAAATATTTCTATAGGTTAACTGAGTCAACAAAGTAGTGTTTAGTGATAGTTAAATCTGATATAATAATCTTTAATAAACATTTTTCTCAATATACTCTTCAAGATAAAATAATAGTCGATTGTTCCGTATTCTATTTTATCATAGTTTTATTTATCGAATTATAATAAGAATAGAACGATAAGAACTATTTTATTTCTATCTATCACGATAACACAAATGATAGTGAAGATTTATTGAATAACTTCTCATAGAAATAAAAGAGAATTGAAATTTTTATCCTTGAAAATAAAATATGAAGATGCATCGAAACATATTTTATCCATTTTTCTAATATTCATTTCTCAACTATTTTTATTCGATTTTCTGACTCTCCAAAAAAAAAATCTTCTGTTTTTATAAAGAAAAAAGAATGGAAGAAAAGTGACTTTTTTTTTCATAGAAATTCCTCTAAAAGAGAATTCTAAGCTGCACTAAACTACATATTAGTCATCTAAGATTTCCGTAGCTTGTAGATCTTCGATTAGTGATTTGAATCTATAGTTTATTATTGAACAATTCACTCTAAACAACTTTCCGGACAGGTTTCCTCTTAAAAAACGTTAATTGAAAAGATTATTAAAAAAATCAGATCATACAACCTTGTAATAGACGATTTAATGTATCGTTCATCTTCTCGTTTCCAACAGTGAAAAGCACAATACTCTATTTTGTTCTTAACAAAACGTTATTCAAATAAATCCTTATCTGCCCTCTTTTAAAAGTGACCGTTAGATAATCGTGATAGATAGAAATAAAATAGTTCTTATCGTTCTATTCTTATTATAATTCGATAAATAAAACTATGATAAAATAGAATACGGAACAATCGACTATTATTTTACCTTGAAGAGTATATTGAGAAAAATGTTTATTAAAGATTATTATATCAGATTTAACTATCACTAAACACTACTTTGTTAACTCAGTTAACCTATAGAAACATTTCTATTTCTAAGATAATTATTGTTAACTGATAAACAGTTGAAATTTGAATTATATTCGATAAAATAATAGAAATAAGATTGAAATCTAGACAATTATTATAAATAAAATCCTCGATATTATTTTCTAATCTAATCTTAGAGATAATTAGATTTCAATTTTCAATTAAAATAATTAAAAAAAAATAAAAAATTTACTTTTAATTCTATTTTATGTAATAAAAGTCCAAATATAAATAAATCCATCATTTCCAGTTGTTGCTAATTGAAGTTTATTTGGATGAAATCAGATTTTATTTAATGTTTCTTGTTGATGTGGATACATAATTGTTCTATTTAATTCAAATCTTTATTTTCAAGATAAATTAAAATAAAAATAAATATATTAAAAATAAAATCTTCCTGATTATTTGTTTGATTAAATATCGAAAATTTAAGTTTTCTTTCATTAAGATAATCATTTTTATTAGAATTAGATCAACGTTCTTCAAAACTAACTAACCATTTATCTTAATTATATAACAAATTAAGAAAAATATTCTTAAATGAAAACCTGTTCGATCAATAGCTAAACGTTTAATATCTGTAAAAAGACATTGATCAGTTATATCGTTTGGTGAAACATTATTTTCTTGAACAATATCCAAGTTAACAAGAAAAAAACAAAAAATTATTTTTATTTTTAAATTTCAAAAAATCGTTTTGTTATTCTTGATTACATAATAAAGTAACTTTCCATAATTAATTGAGATAAATTGAAGATAACCAGGTTGTCCACTATTCATTAAAATTGATTCTTGACGCATAAACGTATGAATATCTTTAAAGAAATATATAGTTATCTATATTATTTGAAATTATTTTTAATATCGATAAAGAGAATTTTCATAAAATAAATTTATTTTTATTATATTAGTCTTATTATTAAATCGAATAAATAATCATTATCGAACGATAATATTATCTCTCGTTTATTTATTTATTTATCATTGAATAACAATATTAACTAGGATATTTACATTTTAAATATATCGACTTTTTACCGTTTTTACCTTAAAATAATATTTGAAAATCTTTAAAATTTGAAAACTATCTCTTGAAATCATTAAAATGATTTCAACGTTTTGTTGAAAATCATTTTTGATAAATAATTATGAAAATAAATGAAAAAGAAAAGAAGATCCTTGTGAAAAATTTCTATTGTAAATCATACTAGAAAACGATAGATTATTCTATTCTAGAATAGAAATAATTAACTCAATATACATTTAAAAACTCTCATGAAGTCGGAACGTGCAACCTCTACGTGGTATGAGAGAGAAACTTAAAGATATCTTTAAGGCTAATGCGCGTACGCAGAAACTATCGGGCAGCAGCGATAGTGGATCGCAACGAAGTACTCGGACTGCGCTGAAGAAGGAAATGGTAAACCACTTCAGTATTCTTACCAAGAAAATTCAATGAACAGACAATCAACGACGTTTCAAGTTATGGTGCTGGAAGATGAGACCCCCAGGTCGGAAGGCACTGAAAGGATGACTGGGGAAGAGCCGAGGTCGAGTACAATTAGTACTGTAAATAATGACGCTATTGAATCAAAGCCGAAAGGAAGTTCAATCGCTGAGCACTACAGATACAAGCGGAAAGACCAAAGCTTTTTAAAAACACATAAAATTGGTACATGGAATGTAAGAAGTATGAATCAAGGCAAGCTCGAAATAGTCAAATCAGAAATGGACCGAATCAAAATAGACATTCTTGGAATAAGCGAACTCAAATGGACAGGAACTGGTCATTTCACATCAGGCAGCTACGAAGTTTATTATTCTGGCAGCCAAAACACCAGAAAAAATGGAGTGGCCATGGTATTAAATAAGAAACTCGTTAATTCAGTAATCGGATATTATCCAAAAAATGATAGAATGATTTATATTCGACTTCAAGGAAAACCAACGAACTTAACAATAATACAGATCTACGCACCAACTACAGAAGCAGAAGAATCAACAATCGACGATTTCTACATGAATTTACAGCAAATACTCGACGACGTTCCAAAGAAAGATGCCATCCTGATAATTGGTGATTGGAATGCAAAGGTTGGCGAAACGGCAGTACCTGATATAGTTGGAAAATTTGGTTTGGGAAAACGAAATGAAGCAGGTGAGAGATTGATTGATTTCTGCCAAGAAAATCATATGATCATCACCAATACATGTTTTCAACAACCGAAACGACGACTATATACATGGACAACACCAAATGGACAACATCGAAATCAAATTGATTATATTCTCTGTAATAGACGATGGAAAAGCTCAATAACATCAATCAAAACACGACCAGGAGCGGACTGCGGCACTGACCACGAACTCTTGTTAGCGTGTTTTCGAATCAAGCTCAAACATCATCACAAATCAACACAAACAGCAAAACCCGACCTACAAAATATTCCGTACAAATACAAGGTAGAAGTAAAAAACAGATTCGACGCGCTCAATCTGATCGACAAAGAACCCGAAGAATTATGGCAAGAAATACGCGACATAATCAACGACGAAACGAAAAGAAATATACCGACAATCCCAAAGAAGAAGAAAAACAACTGGATATCGTCAAGCACTTTGGAAATCGCAAAGAAAAGACGAGAAGCTAAAGCAAATGGAAACAGACAAGTCTTCACAAAACTTAACGCCGACTTTCAACGTGCAGCAAGAAAAGACAAAGAAAAACAAATTATGCAAGAATGTGAAAAAGTAGAAGAATACAACAAGAAAGGTATGACAAGAGATTTATTCAAGAAGATAAAATACTTCCGTGGACAATTCATACCCAGAAATGGCACTTTAACAGATCAAAATGGTAAACATTTAACAAATGGTGATGAAATCAAAAACAAATGGAAAAAATATACCGAGGAACTATACAAGAAAGATATCGACGGAACAGGAAATTTGGAACTCGACGATTATGAACTAGAACCAGATATTTTGGAAAACGAAGTTAAATTCGCCATGGAAACATTAGCAAATGGAAAAGCACCTGGACATGATGGTATTTCAATTGAATGTTTCAAGACAATTAAAGAAGATGCAGTGAAAATATTAACAAAATTATGCCAACAAATATGGAAAACACAAAAATGGCCTCAAGACTGGAAAACATCGATATTCATTCCCATACCGAAGAATGGAAATGCCAAAGACTGCTCAAATTACCGAACAATCGCTCTCATCTCACATGCCAGCAAGATCATGTTGAAGATTATACAACGGCGACTGGAACCTTTTCTCGAACGAGAAATGCCAGTTACACAAGCAGGATTTAGAAAAAGAAGGGGAACACGCGATCAAATAGCAAACCTACGGTGGTTGATGGAAAAAGCTCGTGAATACCAAAAAGAGTTTTACCTATGTTTCATCGACTATAGTAAAGCTTTCGACTGTGTAAATCACGAGAAACTCTGGTCTGTACTATTGGAAATGGGTGTACCAAAGCATTTGATTATCCTCATGAAGAACTTATACACCAATCAACAAGCATCGGTGAAAACGGATTATGGAAATACCAACTGGTTCAACGTCGGAAAAGGCGTACGACAAGGCTGCATACTATCTCCATACTTATTCAATTTATATGCAGAGCATATAATGAGAAAAGCTGGGATAGATGAAGCAGCAGGTGGTATAAAGATTGGTGGACGAAATATCAACAATTTACGTTACGCAGATGACACTACAATATTGGCTGAAACAGCTGATGACCTCCAATGTCTCCTACGGAAGGTAAAAGAGGAAAGTGCAGCTGCAGGACTAAAACTGAATATGAAAAAGACCTTCGTGATGACAAATGGACCCATTCAAGAATTTCACATCGACAATGATCAAGTGGAAATAGTCAAAGAGTTCAGTTTCTTGGGCTCTAGTATAAACACCGATGGCAACTGCAGTAACGAAATAAAAAGAAGACTTCTTATGGGTAGAAAGGCAATGATTAGCCTGGACAAACTCATTAAAAGCAAGGACATCAGCTTGGCCACCAAAATTAGAATAATCAAAACGATGGTTTTTCCGGTAACAACGTATGGATGTGAAAGCTGGACAATAAAACAAGCAGACCGAAGAAAAATCGACGCCTTCGAACTTTGGTGCTGGAGAAGATTACTTCATGTTCCATGGACGGAAAAAAGAACCAACAAATCTGTTTTACAAGAAATAAAACCTGAATGCTCACTGGAAGCTTCAATGGTGAAATTAAAATTATCATACTTTGGACATATAATGCGACGACAAGATTCGTTGGAAAAAGAAATAATGCTTGGCATGGTCGGTGGTAAACAGCGCAGAGGAAGGCAAAAGAAAAGATGGATTGACACAATAAAAGAAGACACAAATTTAACATTAACTCAACTCAACACAATGGTACATAACAGAAACATGTGGAGAAGTCTGATTCATCGGATCGCCAAGAGTCGGACTCGACTGAATGGATAAAACAACAAACATTTAAAAAAGATAAACAAGAATAAATCATCTTGAACATTCTAGGAATTTTTCAATTATATTCATTCCTCTATCAATTATAGACTTCTGCAACTTTTTTTTATAATGAAAACAAAAAAAAACAATTCAAGGAAAATTTTGTTTTTTATTTTAACCAGCTGGTAAAGAAGCTTGTTGAGGAATAAACATATGATTAATTCCACTGATTGTTTGTTCAATTGATAAATTACTTCCAATAATATGAAGAGCTAAAAAAAAAGAAAAGAAGGTCTATTTAAATAAATAAACAGAGTAAAAAAAAATACAATTATCTTCATGAGTAGATACATAAAATGTTTGATCATTTTATGTACTAAGATGAAATATTGGTGCACCAACTAGTGGTCGAAATGTTGCTTCACTTTTTCGATAAACTCATTTAACAAGTACACATTCATCACCACCAGATAATAACATATCAACCTTTTATATATATATATATATTATATTTAAAGAAATTAAAAAAAAAACAAAACGAACCATCAAATGAAAATGCTAAACAAAGAACAGGTGATGAATGGCAATGTAAATATGATATTGTTGGTTCTTTATTTGTTGAATTTATAAAATAAAACCTAAAGAGAAAAAATAGAAATTATTTAAATATATAAGAATAAAATCTCCTTCTGACCAAAGGGCAATTCGAGGAGATTGTGTTCCTAATGCAATAGATTCTTGATTTGGATGAATTTGTGCATATGTTATATTATCATGATATGATAAATCTTTTTTTGTTAGTATTAACCCTTGCAGTACCGGCCTATTTTAAGCACTATATTGACAATATATATTTTCATAAAAGATTTTTTTGTACTTTGGGACATTCTCCTGATGAAAATATGCTTTTTTCGTATTCGACCCAATAGAAAAATTATTAGAAAGACATTTTTTATTTGCAACAAGTGTTACAAAAAATACGTTTAACTGAATGCTCATTACAAACGAATGCAGAACAACCATTGCATTGAGTTGATGTTTTTCTGTCCATAGAAAGTTCACAAAAAGAACATCTTTTTCGTTTTGCTTGAGTAGAATTGTGGCTTATGATTGATATATTTCTCTTCATTACAGGATAACCGACGACAGCTAATGCATTTTGAATATCTGCATTGAGAAATTTTGAATTTTTTGAACGAAAATCCAACTGATGCGATACTAAAGCCAATCCTAATTCTTCGAGAAATAATCGACGTTTATGTTTTATATTTTGATTCCATTGAGGATTCTTTGTTTTCCAGATGATCATTGCATTTATAGCAGCGATGTCTATCATTCCATAAAAGATACAAAGTGGCCATCGCTTTGTAGCTCTTTTCACCTATACAAAATAAAATGTGGAAGCATAAAAAAAAATTCTTTTTACCGTATATCTGTGACATAATTGGTCGACTGTGTCAACAGCTCCTTTGGTTTTGTTGTAATCTAAAATAACAATTGGTTTATCAGTTTGTTTGTCCACTTGACTATCATGATGTTTTGATGTAAGTAGTAAAACGGCTTTGTTGTACTTGGGCACAAATGAAACTAAAGTTAAACCATCCTGAAAACCAAACAGCGAAGAACCAACTTCGCGATTTTTATTTGACAGGAATTCCATAGGTATTTCGGATTTATTTTTGCGCAATGTTCCTATAAGAGACAAATTCTTTGCTTGAAGTTCTTTGGCTAATGGAACACTTGTAAAAAACTTGTCCATTGTAGCATTTCTGCTTAAACCATAAAGTGGTTTGAGCAATTCTAAAACTACTTTGGCGCCTATCTGGGTTTGTCTTTTTTCCATTGGTTGCCGTCCAAGATAAGGAGATGCATTGAATACGTAGTGTGAATTTACATCAACACATAGCCAAAGTTTTAATCCATATTTATCAGGTTTCTTGGGCATATACTGTCGAAAAGGACATTTTCCACGAAATCCTAATAATTGTTCATCAATAGTGACATTGTATCCTGGTATATAAGACTTTTGTAAATTATCTTGAAAATAAGACCAAACTTCGCGAATTGCAGCAAATTTGTCTTTTTTTTTTCTTTCTTCTCGTGTGTTTTTGTCGTCGAATCGTAAGCGAGCAATAATCTTTTGAAAACGACTTCTTGACATAGTAGCTTTGAAGATAGGAGATTCTAATGAACTTCTTCTTCATAAACATTTTACATCTGTCTTCGATTTTCCTAATAAACCGGCAAGTAGTAAAAGTCCAATAAAACCTTTTAATTCAATCATAGTTATTTCTTTTGATTTTTCAGTAGAAGTAACATTTCGACTATATTCGAAGTTTGAATAAACCAAAATTTTTTCAAGCATTTTTTCTGGTATAAAGGAAAGAAATGCATCTTCAATGGATGAAATATTTGCGGTAACTTCGGTCAGTCCAGCTTGTGGAACATTATCATTTGAACAGCTTGTTTTCATTGAATAATTGGGAGTCGACAACCAAGTCATGCCAGATTTGGAATTATATGAACTTTGCCAGGTCGAATTATCATTTAATTTAAGATTTTCCAAATCAATTTCTTCATCATCATCCGATGTTTGACTTTCATGATCTTCTATTTCTGAACCACTGTTTTGATCGTCAAAATAATCGGAATCGTTTTCTTCAGTGGAACTGTCCATAATGGGAATTACAATACTACACACAGTTGGATACAGATTATTTGAGGAAAAATTTCAATCTAGAAAAGTAAGATAAATCATATATTTGCTGCACAACGATATAAATCATTTTTCATGATCATTGGATAATTCTAAACCATTCAAAAAATATTTTTAAAGAATCGAAAATATACAACCACTGACATAAGTAAATGAATCATTGTAATATCTATTAAAATTTTTGTTTTTTTTTTCTTTCTCTTATATGATAGATACTGAAGACACAGTCTTGTATCAAGAGGTTGGATTGGTATGGTATAAATATATCCCCTTTTATGTGAAACGACACAAATATAGTCTTAAGGGACACTATTAGCTCTAAAAAGCTGAGAAAAAACGATATTTTTAGCATATTTGAATATTTTTTACGTGTGGGTCAAAAATGACCCAGGCTGGTACTGCAAGGGTTAATAAAAAATTAATTGAAAAACAATCTTCTATTCAATTTATTGAAGAAAAAAATATTCGTATGAAATATCAAAATGATTATAATACAATGGTTGAATGTCAACGATAAAAAAAACTTATTCAGAAGAAAGAAACATCGAGAAAATTAATCTAAATTTTTTTAATAAATATAACATTTTGATGGAACTGATTGAAAACAATTTTGATCTAAAGTTTTATCAATAACTGGTCAATATGTTATAATAGTCGAAAAAAAAGAAAGGAAAAATATACGAATAAATTTATTTTCTTTTATCTTGCCAGTACGAGGGTCTTTGTGTGATAAAGTATATTTACGGGAATATTGATCCATTAGTTTTTCTTTTTGATGAATAATTGAATATTTTTTTCCAAATTTTAATAATCATATTCACCTACTCATTGCTGTAAAAATAAACATAATTTAAGTGATGTAATACTAAGATTCTCAGTTTATGCATATATTGAAATGAATCCATTTTCTATTACGCTTTTCCTATCGATCTTAGTTGGAAATCTTTAACAACAAGAACAACACCTTTTCCATTTTTTTTTCTTCTATAACTTCATTTTTATAATTCAATTGTACAGCATCTGTATTATCCTGAATGGTTGGTAAAATAGATATTGGTTATTTAGTGACATGAATACTGGAAAATATTATTGCTCTTCCACTAATATGTGATAAACGTTGATGCAAGAATTTTCAATCTAAATAAGTTAATTGAAGAAAAATATTATCTTTATCTTTCCCAATACCACTATTAAATAGAAACTAAGGCTATATCTAAATTATACAGTCAAATACTTTAATATTTAATCAAGTAAATGATAAGATCATTATTTGAATTAAGCGAAAAAATACAATCAAATCTTAAAAATATAATATGAATCATCATTAATTAGATGATAACATTTATTATTATACTAACAGATCAAAGATACATCAGTATGCTGTCTCCTTTATTGAAATAATAAAATGTGACACATATCTCATTTGAAAAATTAGTTATCATTTGAAAACACTGCATAAAAAAAATTGCATTTTTTACTATTTCAAATGTAATCTAGTTCTATTTTAAACTGAAGTTCGACATTATCTCTTTTTGATTTTGAGCAATTCATGTTCAAATCACACAATGTTTCGAGTTCATTGTTGGATTAAAGAAATAAAATACGAAATTTGAAAAGAGTACAGGAATGAAATTCACACAAAATGTTTGATATTTTCATATAATCAAAACAGATTTCGATGTGTGATCTAATCAGAAGAAGAAGCAATTGAATCTACACCATTTGCCATCGTTATATGATACCGAATGAAAAATACAGCTTGTTTATTATTTGGTATACTATGAAAAATGTTTGTATTTTTTCAAATAAAAACAAAAAGAACTTTTTATTTCCTTTTGATCAAAAATCTATTTAAGTGATGTCCAAAGTTCATTTTAAAAAAAATTATCATCGGAAGTCAAACGATGACATATGACGATGAAAAAATAATTGATGCTTTAATTATTATTAATAATTCTTATGCAGTATTTTTTCCAAAAATATTTAAACATATGTGATAACAAAAAAAAAAAAAGAAAAAATGAGTTTCATATAAACAAAGCAAAAAAGATAATTGATGACTATCGAAAAAATTTTATTGTCAACTCTTTATAATAAACACACTATTGAGAGAAATGATCAAAAGAAAAAAGACAACATAAACCGTATATACAATGACCTATGAAGTTGACGAATAGCAATAATTATATCATCTTCTTGCACTGACTATTGGAAGAAAGAACAATAATGCTTTGTGTTATTGTTTATGAAGCCATTATATAAGAATGATGCACAATATTCAATATGATGACATTAAAACAAATCATGGTAACAACATTAGAGAATCTCTCTGTCGAAATATTCTTAGAAATATTTACTTATTTCCAGCTTCATGAAGTATTTAATATTTTTTCTAATCTTAATTCACGATTTGCTGCTATTATGAACAATCTATCACTTATTCCCGTTTACTTGGGTTTGAACGGAATGAGTATAGCAGTGACCAAATTTTATTATATATATTTATCACAATCAAACGTCTCCAGTCGTCTTATTTCATTATGTGTCTCAGATACATTAGCTATCGATAATGGTTTATGGTTAGCTGAACATCTATCGACATTTATTAATCTTCGTCATTTATCTTTAATCGACATTAAACGTTCTTCTTTTGAATTGATTCTTAACTCATTATCACCTATTAATTCTCTCATCATGTTTAGTGTATGCTTTTCAATTGGTGATCGTGCTGCTTATACGTTTGTAGGTGTACCTGAAGGTGCATATTATGAACGAATTTTTCACTTATTTCCTTCATTACGTGTATGTCATCTGCTTTTCCAGCGATATATAGATTCTAATCTAGACAATGAACTCATTCTACCACCTGACAGAACTTTTATACCTGTTCAAATCTGTCTTTTAAATTTACAATCACTTACACTTCATTGTTCACCAAGCTTTCTGTCACATTTATTTGAACATCTCCCACAATTGCAACAACTCACTTATACACGGACTGATCCTCGGCTACCTAAGAACCATCCACTAAGACAGAGTGATTACAAGTAAGTTTCATTCTTTAATTGAATGTATATTTTAATTTATGAACTCAATGTGGAGTGTATGATAGAAGAGACAATATCTAATCATTTTATCAGAAGAAATTAAAGTTAAAACTGAATTATTTATAAAATAATAAGATACCTTTTCAATAATTCGTATTCACTTTTAGAGTCAAATATTAACAATAACGAGGAGGTTTTAAATAGTTGATGAATTACAATTGAGTTATGTATTAGATTTTTAAATGAACACAATAAATATATAGGAAGAATACTGACATTGGCGTACGAACTGGAGTAGATAAAAAGAAAAGAAAACTGCATTCCATGAAATATTTCAATAATATAAGTAATGGATTTTTTATTGTTGCAAAATAGTCTTATTAATTCATTTTAGTCGAATCACTCCTATTAATAAACGTCTTGCTCCAAATCTATCCTGCCTAACAATAAAATGGTTTACTTCTACGATGAATCCAGAATCGATTAATGAATTATTTGAACGTGATGTTTTATTTTCATTAATGAACTTCAGATTATTAGCGCGAGTGGCTGGTCTCCATGTTCTTCATAATTTACAATTCATGCTTTCCAGTCAATGTTTATATTCGTTTGATATTAGATGGTCTGTTAAAACTATAGTGTCAATATCGGAAACAAGCAAAATTTTATTCGACACATTTCAACAGGTCAAAGGACCAGTGCCAATTGAATTAGATCTATCTTTAGAAGAAGACATGTATTTTATTAGAGCTTTAACAGTACCAAGAATGGATAAATGGTTATGTGTCTATTCCTATCTATATGAAAACACTGTTCATGGGTATAGATAGACAGTTGTTTTTTATTACAAACATTTTTTTGAATTTAGACGAACTCCATGGTCAGATAATAGATTTGTCTTCAACAATCAATGGCTTCGCTGTAATAAGATTATTATGAGTGAAGATTATGATCGAATGAACGATGAATTTCTTTCTTTTTCACCGCCCTTAATTCCTTGGCATCACGTTACATCACTTAGTATTGCTGATCCATTCAATCGAAATCATCTTCATCTTCTTTTCTCGCAAGCGACGAATCTACGTACTCTAGAACTGCGTTATAGATTAGAATTAAATACTAAAATTGGTTTAAAAGAGGAAACTTTAATCGATCTCCTTAGTGATAGTTCTTTGTGTAACATGCTCATGTCAAATGGTTTACGACAACTCAATCTTTTTACTGTTTGGGAACAACCACCAAATCCGTTAAACACTGCTTATTCAATTGTCGAGCGACTACCTCATTTGCAAGTTATAGAACTACATGGTATTATTTGTGAAACCATTGAAGTGGCACATATACTGATCAATGATCTTTCAAAATTAAGTTTTCTCACTCTCAATGGTTTATTCGGAAGTGGTGAACTTTATGATAAAGGATTGCGTGATCTGCAGAATTCAAATACTCGTTCTTTTCGAACGGAAGTTCCTAACACGAGAGATGGAAATATACTTTTCGTATGGCTATAATAAAATAAAACTGCAAATATTTCTTTGCTTCTTTGTACTTAAATGTTTGTTTGAAAAAGAATCGCGAGAATATTTAAATATAAATAAAGCGAAACTTTTCTGAATTTTGTTTTGTATGTTAAATCAGTTGAAAAGATCTTTTTTTTTGATATTAAGTCAGATAAAAATCTTTTTTGTTTTTTATTATCTATATGTTAGAATTTTAAGGAAAATGAAAGGACATCATTTTTTTTAGTGCTCAATTATGTAATTCTTGTCCAAGTTTCCGAGTTCCCAATGATTGTCATCAGATCATAACATGTAAAAATTTATTTAGTATTAAATTATACTAATACTCGTTTCTAGTTGCACATCAGAATATATACAAAAATTACTCCTAGATGGAAACAATAACACTAATATT